GGGACACTCAGACGCAGCATTGTGCATCCGGGAGGATGTGCGTCGAACGATTATGGGGGGCCACCTTCCGCAAAGCACGTTTCCAAGGCGGGAGCTGGCAAGCACCTCAGGCAACTTGTGAGGTATTGTCGGGACTTGATGCAATGTAGTTGGTAGCGAGGAGAGAGAGTTGCCCCTTTTTCCTCTCAGCAGAGGAGGAGAGTGCCAGATGCAGCAGGTAGGCGGCGCCATATGGCAGTGCAGTTGCCAGTGCTGCGTAGGCTGTAGGCTGTAGGTGCGTTGGCCAGGTTTGGCAGGGTCGCATTGATGTCTATCTGGAATGTTTGTCTTTGTTGGTTGGGCGTGTTGCGTTGGGTTGGATGACGCAGTCGGTTATTGGTACAGACAAGACACGGTCACGACCGACTTGCCATGCGACTGCGGCATTGGGCTGTAATATGTCGGTAGAGCTGTTGAAACAAAATGACGAGTCGACTCGGCTGGCGGTTTCTCTGAAGATCTGTCGATATGAGAGAGAAGCATATCTGCTGACCCCTCCGCGGGCTGTCTCAGTCAAAAGAGGAAAGCCATTGTTCTCTCACGAGAGAATAGCGCAGCAGCAGCATGAGGGAGCAAACATCAACAAGGCGGTCCCGCTGGGAGGGTGTGGTGCTGCGATAGACGGTAGGCGGCCGGTGGCGATGGTGGTGGTCGCTGGTGGTCGCTGGTGGTGGTGAGGATGACGGGGAACTGGAGGTGGCTTGCTTGCTAATGCAAGTGCAAGGAAGTCGCAGGGAAACTTTGGAGTACACGGATGCAAGTAGCTGCCAAGTCCTTCCCAGCGCATTTCTGCGGCATGCGCAGGCAAGGGTCGCACAACGAATCAGGCAGCGGGTACAGGGCAGGTACGCCAGGGGCCGCCCCACTGCCGTGCCGTCCACAAGCTCTGGGGCAGCGGGCAGGTCGACGACCCTGAGCACGTACCGCACCCAAGGTACCACCGGCTCCCCGGTCCAGAGGTTCCTCATGTTCCTGTTCGCCCGCCCGCACACAGCAGCGCAGTGTTCCATCGAAGCCTCTGAAGGTGCAGGTGGACCTGGGAGAAAGGCGAGGTGCCATCCGCCAGTGTCCACCTGTTGGGCCTTTCCAATGTCCACTGCGGTGGGCTTCCACTCAGCATCCCCAATGCCCATCCAGCGTCTCCGCCGTGGTCGCGTTCGATGGATTGAAATGTCCGTGTTTTGCAGCGGCGAAATTGTGCTTCTTGTGTTGTTTCTGCCGTTGATAACTTGGAACCCGGGATGGCCATGGAATCTATTGTGAAGTATGGAAACAAAGTACCTTGAACGCGACATGTCTGTACCCTGTACCCAGGAGCCAAGCTGAAGGGTACAGCCAGACCAGCAACAGCTACCTTCCATAACCTCCCCGACCTATGCTTGGGCACCTGGACGCAGAGCAGCAGCAGGTCCTTGTTTGCTTCCATTGCTCTCTGTGTCTCTCTCTCCCGACTCCCGTCTGCCCCAGTCTTCATGGGCTGGACTGGACGTGGACTGAGCTGCACTGATGAATGATGGATGGACCACCATGACCATGAACCGTGTACCATAATCCTTACTCTTTTTTTCTCCATGTATTTTTTTATTTTATTTCGCAGACACTTTATCCAATCTGGAGGCCCAGTACGTATCGCAAGGTATCCGCCGAGGTGCATTTTCCCTCGTGCCTACCTATCCTGTCCTGTCCTGTCCTGTCCTGTCCAGTGCTTGCTTCGTGCGTCCTCACATCTCTTCTCCCATCATCTCCCGGTCCTCTCTCTCACACTTCCTCCTCCTCTACCTCTACCTCTCTACCTCTCTCTCTCTCTCAAACTTCCCCGGTCTGCCAATTCGAGCTGGACATCCCGTCTCATCTCGTCCTTTCCGTCTGTCCTTCTTGCCAAACCAACCTTACCCACCTTACATTGCCTTGCCATTACCTGGCTCCAGTCCTCCTCGCCTCATCGCTACTTTGCCCGTCTTCCTTTCTCTCACTCGCCCACGCTAGCACTTTTAGTCTTTCCCCTGACACGCCATTGGCCTCGCCCCCGGGCAGCACACAGAACAGAAACAGAAGCAAGTCGAGCTGCTGGGCTCTTCTGCTGCAGGATTAACATTAGCCAACCCGCAGCCCACAGGGCGTCCACTACGAACGCCCCCAAGGTTTTTAGCGCATTTTACTAAACTGGCCGTGGCACTCCTAAAACCGACAAAAGCTTCTTCGCCCGCCCATTTCCTCAACCCCCGACGTTCCTTACTCTACGCCAGTCAAACCACCTTGGATTCAACCTCATCCAGGTGACTGACCGCTTCCGCAGCACCACCACACACCTACACACCTGACAACACACACACAGCCTCTTCTTGCAAGTCGAGTCGGCTTCAGTCCTTTGCTTCTCGAGTGCTCCCTGTCCCTGTCCCTGGCCTGCTCTGCTTTGCTTTCTCTTGGCTTTGCTTCTCCTCGTCTGATCTGCCTGACATCCAACGCCCTCGGACAACAAAAAAGACTACTCTTCTCCGACGCGAACAACCCCCCAACCGTCCTTCTTAGACTGCCCGCCTGCAGTCTTTTTTTCCTCCGTCGCTTTCGCCTTCGCCATCGAGAATCACCTCACAATCCCTGAGGCCCGCCACACCCGGTCTGCGAATTGATCGACCTTTTCTTCTGCACTAGAGGGCCGGCATTCTTTCTACCTCCCGTTTGCGCTAATTCTCTTTCTCTTATTTTCCAATCACCGCCAAAATTGAGTCGAATTGGTACAACATGTGTTTCGGGGGCCGATCGAAGGATGATGGCGGCGCTGCCCGCTCGCGCGACCTGGACCGCTTGATCCGCCAGGATGAAAAGAAAATGTCGAAAGAAGTGAAGCTTCTGTTGCTGGGTACGCTGTCGCAACAACAGCCAACATTGTCGTATCTGCAATCTACTAACCCCTTTGCGATTCCCAGGTGCCGGAGAATCTGGAAAGTCGACCGTGCTTAAGCAGATGAAATTGATATACGCCCAAGGTTTCAGCAAGAACGAGAAGCTCGAGTGGAAGCCTGTTGTTTTCAACAACATTGTACAATCCTTCCGCCTGATCCAAGACGCCATGGCCGAGATGCACATCGAGTTCAGCAACCCAGAAAACGAGGCAAGCATAACCCGAATACGCCAATTGCGCGCTGTCGCATCCGAAATGCGGCGCTGTCGCATGTGAAAGAAGAACGAGTAGACTAACACGCAATGTCTCTGACAGAAACACATGGCGCACATCCTGGTGGAACACGAGATCAACGCTTCAGATCCCCTACCGCGCGATTACCTGCAGCCCATCAAGGAGCTTTGGACTGACGGCGGCGTCAAGCAAGCCATCGCAAAGGGCAACGAGTTCGCCCTTCACGACAACTTGGCATAGTAGGTCACCTTTGCGGTATGCGACAACCTTGGAACCTGCTGCTGACCCCGTCGAAGCTTCTGTGACGATTTGGACCGTATCTGGAGCGATGCCTACGTACCGACGGACCAGGACTTGCTGCGCTCGAGGTTGAGGACTACGGGTATCACGGAAACGGTTTTCGACTTGGGCCAGCTGACCTACCGCATGTTCGATGTTGGTGGCCAGCGCTCAGAACGAAAGAAGTGGATCCACTGCTTCGAGAATGTCAACTGTCTGCTCTTCCTCGTCGCCATTTCTGGATATGACCAGTGCTTGGTCGAAGACAAGGACGGCGTAGGTGTGCCCCGATTTGGTCGTCAACTATCGTTGCTAACTTGCACTGCTAGAACCAAATGAACGAGGCGCTCATGTTGTGGGAGTCAATTGCCAACTCGCATTGGTTCACCAAGTCTGCCCTGATTCTGTTCCTCAACAAGATGGATCTCTTCAAGGAGAAGCTGCCCACCAACCCCATCACATCACACGGCTTCACCGACTACCACGGACCCGCCGACGATTGGAAGGCTGCCAGCAAGTACTTTTTGGACAAGTTCCGCGCCCTGAACCGAAACACCGAGAAGGAGATCTACGGCCATTTCACGAACGCGACCGACACAAATTTGCTCAAGATTACTATGGGCTCAGTGCAGGACATGATCATACAGCGCAACCTCAAGCAGCTGATACTATAAGGCCGGATCTGCGATAATATTGCGCCACTCGTTGGCTTCCGTCTTTATCACCATACCCAAATGGCATCTACCAAACATGCCGACCCTAATCGATACCCGCGGCCTCCAAGGTCCATAACCCGCCCCTTGCGGCGCCATCCATTCAGAACATTCGGCGTCGTCACCCGATCCACTGCGAGCGTTCAGCCCAGCCACAGCGTCGCAAGCTCTGAGCGAGTTTGATTCAGACTCGGAGAGCACCGAATTGGATGTATATTACTTCCGCTTCCTTTGTGTCTATTTTCTGGTTATCTATTGTCCATATGCAGGCGTTATTTACCGAACGGAGTCTTGCAAAACGCGGCAGGTAATCATGCAGCTTTGTTTTTGCATATTATTGCCAGTATGCGACAGCCTGACAGCGCGCAACCAAGGCCGGCAGAGAGCAGTGGGTAGGTCGTGGCCCCTGCTTCGAGGTTCAACGGCGGGTATGGCGTGGGGGAAAGACGGAGCAGGTTGCGAAGGGTGGTTCACATGAGACGAAACGAAAGCATGGGAGAGGCCGAGCTGATTCTGTTTTGCGTGCGATGGATTGATACCTAATGCCCTGTTTCAAGCTTTGTCCTCATGTTTGGAACAACAAGAAAAAGACGAGATGTGTGTGGACTGTAGTGCCAAGGGTGGGAATGGCACGACTGCGAGGCAGGCAGGCATCTAAAGTCGAAAGGAAAATTGGACAAAACATGTTAAAAAAGCATTTACACACCAGATGTCCGGACTACAACAGAGTCTCCTTCGCAGAGTGTGCCATGGCGTGTCTCATGCATTGTGGCTTTGCATTGACACCATCCCTTCTGGCTAACCTTCAGATCTTAAATTTTCCCGCGATCCGGTCAGATGGGACCAGCCGCGTCTTCAATTAGGTATCCGCGAAGGCGGAGCTGCGCCGGCGGTCGGTCCCCGACGTTGACGGAGGCATCTGTGCAAGGGAAGCTGTCATAGTTTCGGGTACCGTCTATCCTAGTATATAAGCTTACAAGACCCGTTTCATGGGGCATCCAACGGACGAACATGATGAGTTGCCGTGAGAGGCGGCTGTGGGGGACAGATAATTCCTCGGCACGGTGTGCCGAAGGTGGTCACTGGCCAGTTGCCCAGATGGGGATGTGCTGGACATGTTCGGCTCCCTGCCGTCAGGTGAATCGTCGCATGAAGGTGGCTGTGTGTCGTTGTGCGTTGTGGGGGACGATGAAGGTGTCACATCCCAACGGTCATGACCAGACGAGGATAAATATAGCGAGATGAGTTATGGAAATAAAAATCTGGTGGTGGCTGTCGCGTGACCCCCCATTGCAAACGCTTTGACAGTCCCATTCATCAAGCAATCCATTTCGAGAAGTATCTGGTGGTGAGCGGCATCATTGAAGTGATGATTTGTAAAGTGGCACAATGGGTAGGAAGGCGCGTGATGGCGATTGGAATCCGGGCTGAGCCATGCCGGCAACATGGAAATGGACAGGGGCAATAACAGTTCAATACCAACAACGTATGCAGCCATCATCATCTCTGTTGGTTCGGACTTGGACATGTAGTCTGCGCCCTATGTCGCATCCCGCCGCAGGAATGCTCTGGAGCGTCGGCCGGGACTGGAAAAGGCCGATTCATCGGAGCCGCCCCGATCACATCATTTGCCGACACTTCGGACAATTGTCCGACCAATCCGCACTGTAGTGGCGCTCGTCGGATTACAAGCCACCGACAGTGCTCGCACAGTCTTCCAACGGCCCGGCAGCAGGGATGAGCTCCGATGCCGTACCGCACCGAAGCTACCCCGCCGTTATCGCCCCGCAATGTCGTCGCCTCCAACCGCCCCCCACCATCACTCCGTCCCCTCCTAACGACAACCGGGCCATACACGCACTCTCTTTAAACAACAATGCGCCTCGCCCTCCGAACCCTCCACCACCTCGCATCGTCCGCCTTCAAGCCGTCCTCCCAGCGCCTCGTCCCGTTCCGCACCATGGCCACCTCCGCATCCCCGGTGCTCAAGCAGCCCGTCAAGCTCGCCTGCATCCAGCTCGCCTCCGGCGCCGACAAGACGGCCAACCTCGCCAACGCGCGGTCCAAGGTCCTCGAGGCCGCCAACGCCGGCGCCAAAATCGTCGTGCTGCCCGAGTGCTTCAACTCGCCCTACGGCTGCGACTACTTCCCCAAGTACGCCGAAACGCTGCTGCCCTCGCCGCCGACCAAGGAGCAGTCCCCGAGCTTCCACGCCCTCGCGGCCATCGCCTCCGAGAGCGGCGCCTACCTCATCGGCGGCTCGATCCCGGAGCTCGACACCAAAACGGGCAAGTTCTACAACACGAGCCTCATCTTCTCGCCCAAGGGCGAGCTGCTCGCGAGCCACCGCAAGGTGCACCTCTTCGACATCGACATCCCGGGCAAGATCACCTTCCGCGAGTCCGAGGTGCTCAGCCCCGGCGACAGCGTGACGGTCGTCGACCTGCCCGAGTACGGCAAGATCTCGGTCGCCATCTGCTACGACATCCGCTTCCCGGAGCTGGCCATGATCGCGGCGCGCAAGGGGTGCTTCGCGCTCGTGTACCCGGGCGCGTTCAACCTGACGACGGGCCCGATGCACTGGCGCCTGCTGGGCCAGGGGCGCGCGGTGGACAACCAGATTTATGTGGCCATGTGCAGCCCTGCGCGCGACATGGACGCGACGTACCACGCGTGGGGGCACAGTCTCATCATCGATCCGATGGCGAATGTGCTGACGGAGGCTGAGGAGGGGGAGACGACTGTTGCGTGGGAGCTGGACGGCACGAAGATCGAGGAGGCGAGGAGGAACATTCCTGTTAATACGCAGAGGAGGTTTGATGTCTATCCGGATGTAAGTTCGGCGAAAGTGGACGGCAAGCCATGAGGATAGATCTACTGAGAAGCGCGCATCGTGAGGGGAGCTTCATTTGTACACCATTGTAGCCTGATGCATGGGCAAGAATAGAGTAATAAAGAAGGCGACGGCCTCCCGGGTTTGCGTCTAGCTGATTGATTTGACAAGACTTTGAAAGAAATTAGTCAGTATGAGTGGTAAGGCATAAACGTCTGCGACCATCGATCAAGGTTATTGCCATGCCCACGTATCAAATCATGCATTGGTTGCCTTGATTATCTGACAACGAACCCATACGGTGGTCAGAATGGCCACTTCTGAGACATGGCCTTTTCCCTCACTTTGTACTCTCGTGGCAATAAGAAAGAAAACTATTCGTATCGTAGAGAATCAACACTTAAGATTCGAGATTGTTTCCAAACATTTCTATGATTGTCTTAGCTACCTATTCTCAACGACCTTGATGTTGAGTACGTCTTATTGGGAGACTCTTTCCTCTGACGATTGAGTGCCCCTTCACCCAACTTCTTGTTTAGCTGCGCTCTTGAGGTCTGCCTCACGATAATATGCCGTGAGATGTGCAAGCTGAGGTCGGATGGTGTGATGTGATTGGATGCTATTGCATATAGCTGTGGTAGCCATCATTGGCTGCAATCAATGAAGTCTGCCTGATTGACATGCCGGGCGCAAGCTGGGCTGGGTTTGTGGCTGTTCAACGACGCTATTATTAGGTACCATTGCATATTGCTCTAATTATCATCACCAACCATACTCATTCGTCCCATTAGCTTACAACACTTATATCTTGCTGCAAATCGCTTTGACAAAGAGATAAAACTTGAATGCAAATGTAATAGCGCCCATTCAATTTAGCGCGAGCCTGCACTTATTGGCGATCTCAGCTCCACGGCCTCGCCAATGGATATGCCAGGCAGAATGCTGCCCCGATATTGTCACTCTAAGTTACCATCTACCTCACATACACAACTTATTGAACTATTTCAGGCATCTGATCCATCATATGATCTGCGTTGTCGGATTCACGTTGTCAAACAAGCCCGGGCGAAAGCGACATACCATGCTATCTCTTACACTTGGGGATGTCCGGACTTCACATGCAATCTCGTCATTGTTGACGATATCTTGGACAATCAGGGCTCAACCCAGTGCCAGTACACTCCTGGCCGAGTTCCCATCACCCGAAGTCTTGACGGAGCCCTTCGACGCTTCAGGGACTACTCCAGCGCTGCCCAAACTCGGTGTCTCTGGGCAGACGCTGTCTGTATCGACCAGGACAACCCGAAAGAAAAAGCGCATCACATACCATTGATGACGTCAATCTATCTAGACGCCATCGGAGTACTCGTCTGGTTAGGGGGCAATGTGGGACGCCAAATATCTCTGTATGATTCCAACTTTTTAGATCACCCCTGGTTCCGCCGACGTTGGGTTATTCAAGAGGTCGTGCTCAATAAAACCATCATTGTAGTCTCCGAAAATGCGACGCGGAGCTTTTATGAGCTGTGCGAAGTGACCTACGACATATATCGGAACAGATCAGGCCGCGTTCCGACCATTCTCGCAATTCGCGCCGCCTCAGCCTGGCAAATACATTTGATGCGCTCTGCGCTTCACGATAAGTACAGTGCGGAAGGCCAGACAGTCGATTATAACATCTGCAAACTTATGCGATCTTTCGATCAATATGACTGTGCGGACCCGAGAGACAAGGTGTTTACACTCGCATCCCTGGCCAGGGATGTAGACACTCGAGAGGTGGACTTGGCTACTTTTCGACAGGCTTTCGACGGTACAGCCCATGTGGGCGCCCTGGTTCACCGATTCCGTCGACCACAGATTATGGTAATTTACGAGGAGGGAACCACCGTCGAAAATATCTATACTATGTTTGGTCGTAGTATCGGGGAAGCAGGAAACCTACCATGGGTGCTTGGAGAGGCGTCTGCTCGCCTTGACTCTCCCTGCGCCGTTCTTCAAATAAAACAGGATGTGGTGCCTTCCTGGATCCCCGACTGGAGAATTCACAGTCAGCGGCCCAGCTTCTGGACGTACGGGTACGATGTTCGATACTTCCTTCGTTCCCATCCGGTTATGACACTGGGGACGTGGACTGGCAATGACACGGATCAGCCTACGTTCAACATCACGCTGTCTCATAAACAATCTCAAAACACCACGCAGCGGGTTTTCCGCATACAATTGCCTCTGACCCGCATCACTCAAGATTCTGACCGTGCCAGGAAAGACGACTGCCGAAGCATTGCACCTCTCAAGGTTACATGGCGAAGCGAGACATTTCCTTCATCAGTCGAGTCCTGGCGCGAGGCTGCGACCTGCACCAAAAAGACATTCAACAGACTCTGGAAAATCGTCGAAGTACACGCGAAACACGTCGCATCGTCTTCAGCTATCAAATACTCCCCTGTGTCGCTTAGAAATGATTTTGCAGAGCGATTTGCCTACATTCTCATTGCCGGGGGTATGTTTATGGAAGGTGGTGAAATCGATCGAAGCTCAGCTATCCGCCTTTGCGAGTTTGCAGACACATTCTATGATTCTGGTACTTTCTGGGAGATACTTTCTCATGCAGTCGCTTGGAGGAAGAGGCGTCCATCTAGGTTCAAGGACATCGACTTACTCTACCACGGCAGCAACTCCTTCCATGAATTACACGCTGAGCAACAAACTTCAGACCTCGTGGCGCCCAAAGTAGCATTCCTGATCAAAATGTTTATACTGTCAGATATTGATTTTTCAACCCATGAAAACTGGAAACAACTTGTACGCACTATTGCATGGACTATGCAGGGTCGCTGTGTTTTTGCATGCGACGTGGAAAACAAGCCTCCCGACGCATCCCCCATGGATATCCTGGGGATTGGCTCAGACTTCCTTGACTTGAATGATAGGATCATGGCAATCCCATTTCATGTCACCGAATCAGAACTCAAACGCAAGCGTCCCCTTTCGTTATTGAATCTCTGGTCGAGGACATACCTTGTGCGTCCAATTTCAGGAGGCGTTGATGAGGAACTAGGCAACGATGCTTGTGCTCCAACTTTCCAATTGGTAGGAGATTGTTTCCTATCAACTGTCCGTTGGCTCTCACCGCAGCGGGGACTCATAACTCCTGAGTGGTTTACAATAGATAACGATAATGTGGGGGAAGCAGTATTGAAAGAGAAATATCGCAGTCATTTCTCCGAGGTTGTTAAGGACAGTGTGATCTACTTTAGTTAGGTGATAATTGCTATACATAC